AATATAATGCTGTTCTATAGACAAATAGTGAAGAATAGGAGATTGCCAGTAAACATCAAAAGATGTCTCTGTGCCGTTAGTATATTGCTGGCAACAATGTGTACTGTAATACATACAACAGATATGATTTGCAAGGTATCAAATAGCCGAACTTCACCGAGCATTTCCGGGTAGTCTCGGTTGTTATTGAGATTTCAGCATCTTAGGGTGTCATAAAATCAACGCATGACACATGGAATTCTCTGTTTGACGACCGAATATAAACTATATTACGACATCAATATTAAATGTGAAGCTTTTTCCCATTTATATTAGTCTGAGATTCATACTGTTCTTTCCTAAAAAGGCATTAGCCCCCCTTCTATTAGAATTTATAGTACGACTGTTTTACTTGTGTTACCAGCGTTCTTGCGGACGCCGAACATCATGAGCGTTGAGCGTACATTCAAATTGATAATTTAGTTTTTTTTGTTTGTTTTTTTGTATATATATATTTTTGCTGTTGTTTGGCGTAGACTGACAGTCAGAGTGTGTTCATGTTAATCTGAGTTAGTAGTATGAAACCATGACATTAATAGAATACATGCTTATGGACCAGACAGGGTTTGTCTCATGTAAAAAAACTGTCACGTTGAAAACATAAAGTGTGTCTGTTTGAACATCGAGATTTGACCAGACTACTAAGTAAGTACACGTCAATTCCAGTGCATACAAATTGTTTCAGCTGATATAACCAAATTTTGTCTACATCTTAAAACAACCATTAAGTACATTTAATTATTTACTTTAAAACGAGTGATAAATTATCACAACAGTGAGATTTGATATTATTGTTAGCTAAATTGAATTTCCCTCTAAGATGATTTATATTTATGTAAGTATTAAAATAATTCTGTAAAGGGTCTCGTGTTACTGCAATAAACATTTACAGTCGTAATTTGCATTCATTCATAAACAAACGACACTGTCTGTAATTAGAATATGATGTCAATCCTGCAATCAAGTTATTTACGGATATCAATATCAGTATTCAGAAAGCATCATGCGAATTCAACTGATATACTGTAGGTCACTAACGGCTGTCAGCAATGACGTAAATTGCGGCTCTTAATGATGAATGTGGTAGGCTGTTTCTATGATATATATTCTTCAAGCTTGGTATATCGTATTTGACATTTTTTCTTCAAATGCAAACGTTGTGCAAACAAGTCATTAAAAATAATTTTAATATAAATCACAACCTATCTGTTATTAATGTATTTTTATTGTACAACAGCTATCGTGACAATGTGTAAATATCACAACTATTGTTTTTCATGACCCAATTTTATTATATGTTCACCTTTTATATTCTAATTAAATTGTTTACTCTCCGATATATTCAGTGGCAGTTATATAATACCCAAACTGTTTCATGATCTATTGACGTATAGGCCCCGTGAGTGAATGAAATCTTTTACGCCGAGTAAGGAGGCTCAGTGGGCTTTTTATTGGATGGTTTGTCTTATGTGAACACCAATCATATTGTTTCTTTCATACTATATATACTATATTTATACTTTATTATACTATAAGTATACGATTATATTAAATTAAATTAAATTGTACTTTACATTTCAATAACAATTAAATCAATAATAATCACATGCCACGAATAAATTTGAATTGTAAAGCCGAATTCCACAATTATGCACTTGGTATGTGTCCCCTGTTTTTCATACCTTTATTTTATAGATTTTACAAAGACAAACTTGCATGTAACTCAAATAAAAAGAATGCCCAATGGCGAACAAAGAGCGAGCGTTCCAACGTCACCGGTGCATGCGCAATGTATTGGGCGTACGATGTTGCTCGGTAACAGATTTTTGAGAAATTAGATGATTCGGATAGCGTCAAATCTGTAGATATGTAGCGAATAAACACATATATATATAATACAATACTCGGCTACCTCTCAGTATATGTAAAATGCTGGTTCAAGGGGCCTTCTCATTGTACTGCGGAGTACAGAACGATTTATTGTGGTTTGGTTATGTTTTTAAAATGTGGGAATGTTTTTAAAATGTGGGAATTTAAAAATTTTTAAAAAGTACACCAAAATGATAAAGGTACTATATAATGTAGTAGAAAAAAAAATCACCACCTGTGGAGGTGTAACGCGTACGCTCGTTCGTCTGTGTACAATATTGCGGTACACCATGTCTGGTAATGTTGTTTTGTTATATCACGCACGAGTATACGCAAATGAAAATGATAACATCGAACAACAAAGTGTTATCCATCAAATCTATTTACAAATTGGGGCTGGCAACAGAAGGTGAAATCATATATTGCGACACGTGGACGGGACATTCATGCGACATGTTTCAATCACATTTCATGATTGAGTGCTAAATATTGGTTATTTCGAAGATCATTTAACTAAATCCCAAATCATTGAAAAGAATGTATTTGTTGTCGACCAATATAGCAATTCACAATACCAATGTGTCGATGAATGCCAGTGTTCCATACATGTATGTACACGCTTGTTGGGTCATGCGATATAAGGGCAAAAACGATTAATATACAAACAAGGATGTGGTGTACATCTGGCCCACTGCTAATTCAAAGGCACAATTGTTTCATTCTATTTCGCAACATCGGATAATGTGCGCTGGCCAACAGTTGACCGCTATTCAGACATGAATCTGGTATGATCAATCGACATTTAAAGGGCGATGGTCGTCTCGCCGCGTTCTGTTCGGACACGCGCTGTGTGACGACGACCACCCTTTAACTAAAAGCAGAACTTGCAATCTATGATTTATTTTGTTGTAAATTTACTTTGTTTATTCAATTCGCAGAAAGATTCAGGAATTGAGATATTACCATTTACACATTTTCACCCTTATGTGTGAAAATAATTGCTAATACATGTACCCTGTTACGCATTCGCTATTGAAAGTTTACCATAAATGTTAATCATTGAATAAATTATAATTAAAGGGACGCGCGTCACAAAAACATACATTTAAACTAAATGAATTGACAGCCGTCGGCAAAATAAAGTTGGAGAGACTACTTTTTTTTTTTACTTTGGTCGACTTTGTCATTAGATGAACATATTGTTGAAACAATTAAATTTGTCTAATTTATATTATTTTGTTTTTACATATAGATGGCAGAATAATACTATGTCGCAATGGATAATTCATAGGATCTATGTTGATTTCTGCATAGTTTGACAGTGGTATAAAACGTAGTAATCTGGTCGTACATAAAGTTATGGGTATTGGGCATTGTCATCAAAACCGCGGACATTGACAAAAATAATTTTACAAAACAAATTATTTTATAAAAGGGACTATGCAGGAGGACTGCTATAATTTGACATAAGAGACTAGCAAGACGTCACATTTTAATCGCAATCTTTGGGCGTTGACACAGTCATTGTAAGCATTTCACCCAAAAAAACTTAATTTAACAATACAATAGTTGCATGATACATTTAACATAATTGCTTAGTAGATAACAGTATATTGCTTCTTTGGGAAGTTATTCGTGATTCACTGAGCAAGATCTTGGAGAACCTCATCGAATAATTTCATGACGATGTCAACATGGTGTTTCTGGAAGACAAGCGTAGGACGAAATCGTATGGTATGGGCTCCACAGCTTCCCATCTGCACTCCTAGAAAAAGATAATATAAAGAAAACAAGTCATTGAAAATGACACAGTCCCCGTTAAATGTTTGAAAGTTCTCTTTGTGCTCATCATATTAAAGCGGAGGGGTTGTCGTGAGCGTGTTCTTGAAACTTGAGTTCCAAGTGGCGTATACAACAGATTGTTTATTTTCATCAAAACACGTGTTCTGTGTAGTAGTAATATGGCCAAAAATTAAAACAGCCGTAATTCGGCCATCTTTGATCTGATTATGAAACACACTGATATGTATGATGTATGTGCCAAATATGAATGAAAATGGTACATAAATTGTGGAAATATAGTAGTAAGGCCAAAAAGTCAGATGGCTGTCAATCGGCCAACTTTGACCAGATTTTGAAACAAATTGTCATGGACATGCATCCTAACATGTATAAATTACATGTATGTGCCAAATTTGAATGAAAACTGACAGAGCACGTCCAAGATACCGCATAAAAAACAAGATTTTGAAATAAATCGTCATGAACATGTATCCTAACATGTATAATTTATGTACCAAGTTTGAATGACAACTGACAAAGCATGTCCAAAATACAACATTTTCAAAAAACAAGATGGCTGCCAGTCGGCCATTTTGAATCGAATCGCTCAACCACTGCATGTGCATATGTCCCACATAAGGTGCTAGGCACATGCAAAGAATGAAGGGAATCGGTCAACAGGATTCTGAAATATGACTCTGAACAGACTGACGCATGGACGGACGGACAGACAGACTCAGGAACTCACGGACGGTCAGGACATGTATCCTAACATGTATGATCTATGTACTAAATTTGAATGAAAACTGACAAAGCATGTCCAAAATATGACATTTTCAAAAAACAAGATGGCTGCCAGTCGGCCATCTTTGATCCAATTGTGAAATAAATCGTCATGGACATGTATTCTAACATGTATAATCTATGTACCAAGTTTGAATGAAAACTGACAAAGCATGTCCAAAATACAACATTTTCAAAAAACAAGATGGCTGCCAGTCGGCCATTTTGAATCGAATCGCTGAACCACTGCATGTGCATATGTCCCACATAAAGTACTAGGCACATGCAAAGAATGAACGGAATCGGTCCAAGGGATTCTGAGATATGACTCCGCACGGACGCACGGACACACGGACGCACGGACGCACGGAGACCGAATTATAAGTCCCCGTTTTCGGACTTCGTCCGAACGAGGACTAATAAATAAATATCATGGTAAAGGAATTGATGGAATACATTGGAACAAATTACGTCAATTCTCAATGCGCTTGTTAATTTGGCTGATTGGACTCAACTGTCATTGGCATTTATAAATATTTATAAAGATTAAAAGAATGGGTTTGATGTCCCGAGAGTAATTGACAATGAAATTGCTTTTCCGAAATTCCGTCTATTTTCTGTCTATTTAAGTGCTGCATCATGTGATCACAAATCTTTTAATCGGGTTTCATATATGACCCATGACTTATACCTTTATTCCTCATAAGTTCCATTATCTTCTGCATAGTAACAACATCTTTAGCATCAACGGCACAGAACGTTCCAATGCCTCTTGTATTTTTCAGTAGTTTGGAATACTTGTCCTTGAGTTGAAGAGAAAAGTAAACTGAAGTAACAGAGATCAATACCACTACATGCATGGATGTTTAGTTTATAACAAAGATAATGATCGACAT